TGGGATTGAAATTATGATGGTTTTGGGGCCGGAAATGGTGTTTCGGTTTAGTTGGGGTTGATTTCTCTATTGTACTTAGCTAATTGGAAATATGGGTACTTATGTTTGGTGATTTTGGGAAATGTTGACTTGATGAACTTTGGGTGTGTGATGGGGTATTCTGAATATGGCAATTGTGAAGTTTTTGGTGATGGTTTGGATGTCGATTGAATTTGATACTTCTCTTAATCCTATTTCGTTGAAGAAAGTGTAGGGACAGAGATAATAAAAAGATGATGGTGGATGTTGATAGGGTTGGATGCTATTTTACCTTGTCATTTGAAGTTTGAGGAGGATGTTGTGGGCCTCTTCTGCTTCTGCTCAGCCCTTTTATACTCTGTTATTCATCGTTTTTGTTCTTGTTGTGTATGTATTTAAAAGGGAGGAAAGACAAGGGACGAGTAAGAAGAGAAAGGAGGCTTTGCTTTGTGTTTTCTGTATGTACGAAAGAGGGTGAGTGGAGTCTGGTTTTTTTCTAATCTGTCTCTTTCTTTCTGTATGCTTAGTGAGGGAAGAGGAAGAAGAGGAAGGAAAAGAGGATGTTCGCGATTTTCCCCCTTTTCTCTCGGCTGTCTGTTTGAGGGGGAGTAGAAAGAGGAAGAACCAAAGGAGAAGATGAAGAAGAAGAGAGGGAGTCTGGAAGAATGTCCCTCCTCCTGGTATTTGTAAGAGCCAAAGGCTCCCTTTTTTATAGAAGTTGCTACTTGTTCCCCAAGTTTGCAATAGTAGTGGTTTGGGTTTGGTCGTACCGGTCTGAGTTGGGTCGGACCGATATGGGTTTGGTCAGACCGGTTTGACTTTGTTGGCTGAATTGACCCTTTGACTTTGGGATTTGATTTGGGCCTAAATTTATTTTATTGTTGTATTGCGCTTGTAAATTTAATGTAATAACTACTTAACAGTTACTATGTAAATTTATGGTTTAATACACTTGTATATCCAAAACTTTCACGGTTGTGCCAATAATATCCAAATTTCCCGAAATACCACTTATATCCAATTCCTTCACATTCTTTAACGGTGTTTTTGGATATACAAGTGTATTTAACCAAAAATATATTGGAAAATGGATAGATTTGGCAAAGAACAACTTTAAAACATGGATATAAGTGGTATTTCGAGAAATTTGGATATTATTGGCACAACCGTGAAAGTTTTGGATATACAAGTGTATTTAACCTAAATTTATTTATGTTTGATTTTATTCCAATTAAGTTTAATACGATACTTATCTATTTTTCTTAATTTGACTTATTTTTTATTGTTCAAAATTGAGGCCCAATCATCGCAAGCTCCGAAATCTTAGCGCCAATTATATGATCATCCCACATGACGACCACAATGCTTGATTTGTCTAATCGAAGCAGGTCAACACTATCAAATTGTACCATGATTTGCTATTGCTAATTGCATTATTCCAAATTATACCAAATAAGATTTGCTATTTCTAATCTCATTGAGTTATGAGTTATGGCAAACAACACTCAATCGAAACGCTACAAATATGTTTTACCTAGAGGTCATTTAAGATTCGCTATTGCAAATCTTAAACAAAAAACTAAATTTTATTTAATTATATATGTTTTAACCCGGACAAAAAGTGGTGTCTACATCACCATCAGAACTAACCCTTGGTGAACTAAGTTACTAGGCACTTGACTTTCAACCAAAACCATGCAGGTAAATACACATTGAGCTCTTACTCTATTAAGCACCCAATGGATCTTGTCAATGTGTGGTTCCTGGATACTGGAGTCACTGATCATGTAGTTTGTTCATTGAATCTGTTTGAATCCTTTGTACCCATTCAACATGCTTCCATAACACTACCTGATGGTTCTAGAACTCCTTCTACCCATTCTGGAACTGTTAGATTATCAACCAACCTTATTCTTCATGAAGTTTTGTTTGTACCAGCATTCTCTTTCAATCTGGTTTCCGTTAGCAGACTTACCAAAACCATTCCCATTTCACTTACTTTTAAATCCTACATATGTGATGTTCAGGGCCTGCTCACCCAGAAGAATATTGGTTTTGCCCAAGAGGGTAGAGGTCTTTACAAAATCACTACCTTACCAGAAGAGGAACCATCCATTCTTGTAAATTCCATCAAGACACCAAACCTTACACCTCAATCCTTTGACCTTTGGCACTGGAGACTTGGACATCCTTCTTCATTCAGAGCTAAGAAATTATAAAAGTCAATTCCTAGTATAGATACAAAAGACATACTTCATTGTGATGTTTGTCATTTATCAAAATAGAAACGTCTTGCTTTTCCTTCAAGCCTTTCTATGGCAGATAATGTTTTTGATCTTATTTGTGTAGATATTTGGGGCCCTTTGGCAGTTACTAGTTCGATGGATTTCAGTATTTCCTCACCATTGTTGATGATAGATATAGATGTGTTTGGATCTACCTGATGAAACACAAGAGTGAAGCTAGACAGCTCCTTCAAGACTTATGTATCATGATTAAAAATCAGTATGATACTAGTGTTAAAATTGTTAGAACTGATCTGATCTGAACAAGGAGCTGAGTGTCACATTCCATATTTCTGCTCTCTCCATGGCATCACCCATCAGATGTCATATGTGGAAACCGCTCAACAGAATTCTAGGGTAGAAAGAAAGCATGAGGACATCCTAAATGTAGCTAGATCTCTCAAATTCCAATCAGGGATGCCATTGAAATTTTGGTCGGATTTTGTGATTCATTATGTTATTTAATCAATAGACTACCTGCAGTTGATTTAAAGAAAAAAACACCATATGAAATACTTTATGAGAAAGCACCACCTTTCTTAGCTCAAGGTTTTTGGATGTTTGTGCTATGCTAGTACACTTGGACATGGCAGGACCAAATTTTCTCCTAGGGCTAAGCAGTGTGTTTTCCTAGGATTCCAACATGGGATTAAAGAATACAAGTTTTTTGACCTAACTGATCAGAAGGTGTTCTATTCTAGAGATGTCATATTCCATGAGCATATTATTCCATGCCTTGAATCCCAGTCACCTCCATCCACTGCTTCTAACCCTTCCCATTCACCTTCTTTGTCCCAGCCAACTTTCTTTGACATAAATACTTCCATTCCACCTTCACAAGGTACCATACCAAACCCTGACACACCAGAAGCTATTGTTTCTCCATATACAAATCTGGATGAACCTGAACCTACCTCTCTTATCTCTTCTACTTCTCCTTCTCCTATGACAGCATCTCCTGCCAACACTACCCCTTCTCCCACAATTCAAGTTCCTCTGTCACCAGCTTCCTCTTCTATCCCAATTGCCATTAGAAAGGCTCTTAGAGTTCCTGTCAAGCCAGTCAGATTCAATGATTTTGTTATGCATGTTGACTCACACATTGACAAACAAAGGTATCCATTGGTTGCTTGCTTATCTTATGACCAGTTGTCACCTGGTTATAGGAAATTTTTTGTGTAGTTGAAACCACAGTCATTCCTAAAACCTTTGAAGAGGTTTTTCAATATCGGTGTTGGAGAGATGCCATGAATGCAGAATTGACGGCTTTGGCTGCAAACCAAACGTGGGATGTGGTTTCCTGTCCAGGTGGGAAGAGATCAATTGGTTGTAAATGGGTGTTCACCATCAAATTCAACCCTGATGGTACCATTGAAAGGTACAAAGCTAGGCTGGTGGAAAAGGGGTTCACACAGATATATGAATTTGATTTCCTTGATACATACTCTCCTGTGGCCAAACTAAATTCAGTGAAGACCCTTCTTGCTCTAGCTACTGCAAAGGACTGGGAGTTACACCAATTGGATGTCAGTAATGTATTCCTTTATGGAGACCTCACAAAAGTGGTATACATGAATCTTCCCCCTGGCATATCTGATCATGACTATGTCTATAGACTTAGAAAGTTGTTATATGGCCTGAAGCAGGCTTCTAGGTAGTGGTTTACCAAACTCACATCTACCTTAGTTGGCTTTGGTTATCACCAATCTCACAGTGACTATTCCATGTTTATTCATAAAACTGCATCTGGCATCACTGTCCTCCTTGTGTATGCCGATGACATAATCATTGCAAGTGATGATGTGCAGGCTATCTCAGCACTCAAGCAATTTCTACATTCTCAGTTCAAAATTCGTGATCTCGGCCCTGTTCACTAGTTCTTTGGCCTTTAGATTGCTCGATCAAGGGGGGGATGCACATCTGTAAGAAGAAATATTGTACTGGATATAATGATTCCAAACCTGTGATATCCCCAATAGACATGAAGACTCAACTTTCTGCTGGTGATGGTCCTCTCCTTGAAGATGGTATCTATTCGGGAAGATCCTTGGACGTTTACATTACCTCACCATTACCCGTCCAGATCTTACCTCCATTGTCCAACAGTTGTGTCAGTACCAATCTTCCCTACCACTACACACTTATAACTTATTTACAAGGTGCTGAAATACCCGAAGAATGCCCCGGGACAAGGACTCTTCTATCCTTATCAGTCTGATTTGCAATTACGGGAATACAGTGACTCGGATTGGGCTACATGCCCTGATACAAGACGTTCTACAACAGGTTACTGTATTTCCCTTGGTAAGTCACTCATCATCTGGAAATCGAAGAAACAAGGGACTGTTTCTCGTTCTTCCTCTGAAGCTGAGTACCAAGCCTTTGCTCAACTTACCTGTGAGTTTGTTGGGTAAAAAGACTTCTACAAAAGCTATACATCGAACATCCGAAGCCTGTGGAAGTTTTTTGTGACACTTGCTCTGCCATCTACATCGCTGAGAATCCTGTGTTTCACGAGCGAATGAAACACATTGAAGTCGATTGTCACGTGGTAAGACAATTTCTTCGGTCCAAATTGATTTCTCTCAGTCATGTGAAAACAGAGCATCAGGTAGCAAATATGTTTACGAAAGGGCTGAGCCAGCATCGTCTTCAATTTCTATTATCCAAGCTGAACATACACGACATCTATGCGTCAGCTTGAGAGGGCATATTGGAGAAGAAGATGATGGATATTGGATCTGAAATCCGTGATGTTGAAGGACTCCTAAGCGACAGCGTTTTCCCTCAGAAGTCGTTGATGAGCTGAGCAGAGATGACCTCGTTTTAGTTAACGCAACTCATATTCCGTTTTTACTGTATATACATACGTGTCATTCTTTCATTCGTAGATAGCTTTAATTTCGGTTTGTTACAGTTGTAAATTACCTCCAGGTAACTCTCTGTTCACTGCGTAAAGAAGTAGACAGAGTAGGTTTATATATATACAGGCTGTGGCCACGAAAGACCCTTTGCGGGTTCTTATCTGATCCATTGCAAAGTTTCACTGATCAATCAATCAGCTCCTAAGCTTTCTAGTGATCTCAGCAACGTACTTCCCCTGGTGAAACGCCTGCTGCAGTTCCAGCTCCGTCGGCTGCCGGCTCCCATCCGCCGCGAAAGTCCCGGCCCCATAAGACGACCCGCCTTTCACCTCTTCCATCTCAAACATCCCGCTCCCAAACGTGTACCCCAGCGGCACAAACAGCATCCCGTGGTGGGCTAATTGCGTGATCGCCGTCCATCTGCCAATCCAAAAAACAGAGTACCCAGTACCCACTGATCAAATAACCTAAACTACAAATTGGGGAGAAGGGGGGAAAAATGAATTGGGTAGAGGGAGGAATGTTATTAAACTGACGCTGTGAGCTCCTGCCCTCCGCCATGGAAGCCAGTGCTCCAGAAGATACCGGCAGGCTTTCCAGCAAGCGACTGGGAAGCCCAGAGCTCGGTGGTAGCGTCGAAGAAGGCCTTGCATTGGGCCGCCATGACTCCGAACCGGGAAGGGAACCCGAACAGGAACCCGTCAGCTTCCAGCAGCTGCTGGGTTTGGATTACTGGCACGTCATCTGGTTTCGGAGGCGCCTTCATCTTTTGCAATATGGTGTTGTTCAGTGTCTCCGGTATCTGCAAAAGTTCAAATTCCCCCCACTAAGGCATCGGCATCGGCATATATACATCCGGAGAAATGAATTTTGTTGAGTTAAGGGAATTGAAATTTAACCAAGACCTGCCAAAGAGTTGCTTCGACGCCTGGGACGGAGTTAGCACCTAGCTGAACTTGTCGAGCCATAGTCTCCACATGTCCGTGCAATGAATAGTATCTGTGAGAAACAGAGCATGTTCAATTCGAGACCCAAGCGACGATCATAACACCAGAAAGAAGAGACTGTAACTTGTTCTGATGCTGCTGCTTACATGATGTACACCTTCACAGGTCCAGGAGCCATAGCTTGGATCCAATGCTGGCCAAATTAGTTGCTGCTACGATGATCTGCGGACGATCAATTGATGATGATACTGATACACATTATATTAATGGAGTGGACCTTATCATATTGTCATATTTTAATGTTAGAATTGAGCTGAATGGATAGACATGAATAGGGTATCGCCATTATTATCATAACCTATCACCATCAACCATACAATAACTCAAGGAATTGCTATTGCGCGCGCGGGGGAATCGTTCCAACCAATTGATCACAACAATTACAAAATTTATCTAAGAGAATAAGACAGAGGATCGAGGAGAAATCAAAATGATCAATCATATATGACAGAGGAGAAGACAAGTAGACTACCAAGTGAATATAGTATGAGGCCATTGAGAAGGGAAAGAGTACCTGTGATGAGCTCTGTAGGAGAAGTAGCTGTTGCGGCCGAAAGGTGAGGAGACGGAGGAGCGGAGGCAGAGATAGAGAGATGATCGGAGAAGTATGATGTCGCCGGCGAGGCACAGGCAGAGGCGGTTGGGTGGGAGAAGCAGAGGATGATCTGGTGTTGAGGATGGAGGGTAAGCTTGTCGGTGGAAAGAGGGAAGGATTACCTTCAGGAGCATGCACGGTATGTGTCGTTTATGCTAGAAGCCTGGAACAGCAGGTGGGTTCGGATAAGCATGTACTCTGCTCTTCCGTGGAAGGGAAAGCCGCCCGCTGCTTTTCCCTTTTCCCATTTCTCTTTCTCCCCCAATTTGTCCCCTTCTTCAACCTAACCTAACCTAACCTAACCAGTAACCACAACGATCTTTCCATTTATTTTTTCTGTTGTTTAGGGATGTGCCACGACATCAATTTTGGGCCTAACAAATATTCCAGGTTATACTTAGTGTAAAAACAGAACCCGACTCGACTAACACGCTTGATCAACCCGACCCGTAATTCGACCGCAACCCGAATTTACAAAAACTCAACAACCCATAACCTGTCTGACCCGCAACCCGATTGACCGGAACCCGACTAATCTGCAACCCGATTGACCTGCAACTCGATTAACCCGAAACCGATTGACCCGCAAGTCCGCAACCCGATTAAACCCGCAACCCGATTAATCCGAACCCAATCGACTCAACCCGAACTTCACCTCTCCACTTGAATAATTATTATATTATATAATACATAGTTTTCAAAATAAAGTTTTTCATTCTAAACTTAGGTAAAATTATTTCTTCATTTCGTATGGCAAATTTAAAAATATTTTAAGAAAATTACAAAAATTAAAACATGAAGATCACTTGCACACTAAGTTTTTTAACAAAATTAAAAATGTAAATGTGAAATATAAAATCAACACAATGTGAATATAATAATGAATAATTAATAATTGAGATCATGGAAAATATTAAAATATAATATAAATTAAAATTTTGGTTAATTTAACTATTAATAAAGCTATCAATTAAATATAAATAAAGTAAAACAATGTATTTGATAATTTGATGCTTTTAAAAGAATAGGAAAATTTTGGTGTATTCAACTTTTTGCGAAGAGAAAGAAGAAGAAAATTATGTTCTTTGAAAGTTTTAGAAAAGAAAAAAACGAAAATTTTGGTGGTTTTGATTTGTGGGAAATGAAGAAGTGGAAAAGTTTGGTTCTTTTGATTATGAAAGAGAAATAAGGAGGGAAATTTTGAGTTTTCAACATTTTCTAAAAGAAAGGAAGGAAAAGGGAAATTTGGTTCTTCAAATAGAAGAGAAAGAGTAGGGAAATTTCAAATTTGGGTTTTTCAATTTTATGGAAGAGAAAGAGGAAGGAAAATTAAGTGTTTCTAATTTATGGAAGGAGAAAGAAGGAGGATAATTTTAGTATTTTTTTTAATACAAATTTGGTGTTTATCGCAATCATTTATTTTAGAAAAATTCACTTAATTTGTCTACTTGTTTTCTATGCTTCTACATTTATTACAATTTCAACACTACATTATCGTTATTTTATAAAACTTAGTAAAATTTTCGCACATTTAAATTGTGTTCAAGTTGGGGGTATGACTTAAGAAGGAAGCCAAGTCCAAGCCCAATAAAGGACTAGGGGCCCAAATAGTGTTCAGGGCCGAATAAAGCCGCTGGGGAAGCTTGTTTGGTCGGGCCCAAACCGGACTGAAAAGGTACTGACACATGACAAGGGAGAACAGGTTGGCAGTGGTCCCCGAAGGGAGGTGCCTATTGCTCGTCAAGAGTCTGACAAGTTGGTCGGGGCGCCTGGCCTAAGCAAAGTACAACGCATTTAATGGCGTGCTGACGTGTAGCTAAGAGGTAAGAGTATGGTCCCGGGTTGAGTAAGTATAAATAGTGTTGGTAGGTGACATTTAAAAGGGGACTCTCTCACACAAGAAACTGGGAGAACACTTCTCTCTCTAAACGACATTTTACTAACTTGAGCATCAGAGGATTTACGGGCAAGGCGCACACCTCTGTGTGTGTGGTGTGCAAGTCAGGGGTTCGCGTGCGGAGTTAGGTGACGTGGCACGGGAGAGAGATCATCTGGGCTCAAACAGTTTTGACGGTTCTAAGATTTTTATTTGGGCAATGTCTATTTTTTACCCAAACCTTTTTCAGATTCTTTTATTTTAACCAAACCTATTGAAATTCTATTTATTATCCAAACGTATTATAATTTATCAAAGTCTGGGCATTCATTCTGTTACCGTTACTTATTTCGTCCACGTGAGAGGTGGGATTTTGTTTTGTTTTTTGATAATCTTTTTATTAAAAATAGTAAATGATGGTATTCTGACCACCACGTAGGAAGTCAACTCATTATGGACATAGTTAGTCAGCATTACTAACAGAAAAGTTGACGGAGAGTTAACGTTTGGATAATTTTTAGGAATTCAATAGGTTTGGTTAAAATAAAAGAATCTGAAAAAGGTTTGGGTAAAAAATAGACATTGCCCTTTTATTAACATATGTTCACTTGAAGTCATTTAAAATATTTAACGGCAGGAGATCCCTTTTAATTTATGTTTATGGTACGTCGTTAGGGTAGAGGGTATATGGTGTAGAGTATAGCAAATATCACTTTTTTATCTATGTTTCGAAAATTAAAGTATGAATTTCACTTTAAATTAACTATACTAGCAAAACATAACTCATAGGGGATGTAGGGTATGTTGTTAGTGTATAATATATTGATGGTTTAGGGTATACGATCAACAACATATATTAACTTAATATTGTCGATTGAGATGAAGGCTAAGTGTATAGGATAAATGTTATTGAGTAAGTTATGATTGAAGTCACAATAATTTTACTAAATTTGATAGTTAATCGTTAATGGTACAATTTTTAGGGTAATTCGAACAATTTTACAAATAACACGTTTAGCAACAGTTTACTGAAGTTATTAGGGCAATTAGTTATTTCGAAATAAATCCTTTTACCACTCTGTTTTTGCCAAATACCACACACCAAATACCAGATTTGTATAGTTATTCTAAACGAGATAATATAATCCAAATAAAATTAATGGTGTCTTTTGGTTGCAAATGTTGATATAATCATTACTATTAGCTAGTGTACTTTACCAATTATGATTAATTACATAATAAGTTTGCAAGTCATATAAATCGATTCAACATTTTGACTAGGTTTCTTTAAATTAAGTATATATACGAGGTAGAAAGAAATTGGTTAAAAATTGAGAAAAATATTTTAAATTAGTGTAATAAAATGTGTAAGTTGGTAACGAGTAAGGAGTAAGTTACACGATGCGCTGACCCGAACAAACCGCAACCCGATTCGCGCGCAACCCGCCCGACCAAAAACCTATGAACCCATAACCCGATTTGCCCGCAACCCGATTGAACCCGAACCCGCAACCCGTTTGAACCCATACCCGATGAACCCGAACCAAATAAACTCGTAACCCGGTGAATCCGCAACCCATTTGAACCCGAATCCAATTGAACCCAGCCCGAACACGCTCGATTGACACCTATACACCTTATAATCGAATTCTAAATATTACTCTAAAATAACGAGATTTTTTTTTATATTCTCGTAAATTATTCTTACAATGATTAATAAATAGTTTTTAAAATAGTAGTGTGCAAATTCCAAAGGAATTAAAATAAAAAAGACTCAACTAGGTCGGACAGATTAAACAGGTCGGGTAAAACAGGTCAGGTCGAAATTGTCATCCCTACCAAATGGAAGAAACAAAATTGGTTTGAACCGTTTCTCTCAACTAGAATGTTGATCAAGTGATCAAGGAACAACTGCATCGTAGTTGGGCTCGTATTTATAGGGGACGCTACTTCAATTCTACTCCTTCTGTTCTGAATGTTAATCTTGGATCCAATCCATCGTGAGGTTGGCGTAGTGTCTTGTTTGGGAGAGACTTGCTTTCACAGGGGCTTTGTTGGCATGTTGGAGATGGGTTCTCCATTCGAGCTCTTTATGATCCTTGGCTGCCGACCACTCCTCCGTCTATTCCAAAACCTCGGTTAGGCACTCCTTCTACCTTTCCCTTTGTTGATGCTTTTATTGATCCAGATACCAAGAATTGGAATATTGGCATGCTACAATTATATTTTGAGGAAGCTACAGTTGGATTGATTCAAGGGATACCCCTCCCCCATCAACGGATTGCGAACAAGCTTGTTTGGCATTTCGAAGCTTTAGGGATTTTTCGGTCAAATCTGCAAACCTCCTCTCATCTACTTTGCAGTGCCCTCCTTCTTCCTCTAAACATAAAGTTCTGTTCATGGATCGTACTTTATGGCAATGGGTTTGGAATAGGAAGTTTTCTCCGAAGTTATTGTTCTTCTTATTGCAAGGTTTGCATCGTATCCTTCCGACTAGAGAGCCCTTGGTGGTTTGGGGTATGGATTTAATCCATATTTGTCCGGTTTGTGGTTGTAAGGAAGAAACAATTGAACATTTGTTTTTTTTCTTGTTTGGTGGCTCAAAATTTTTGGAGATTGATTGGTTTGCAAGAATTTTGGAGGCATGCGGAGAAGCGTTCTTTTGTGGGCTTCATCCGACATACCCTCAACAAAGTAAACGGATCGGAAACCGATTATCTTATTTTACAGGTGGTTTGCTTGCTTTGGCGGTTGTGGAAGAATCGTTGTTTGGTGGTGTTCCAATTCAAGCAACTCCAGTTGAATGTGTTGGCTAATCAGTGGCTTCATCAAGTAAAAGAAGTGGAGCAGGATATACTACTCCCCGCCAAGGTCCCAAGAACAGCACCTGTAACTCCTTTTCCTCTGCAGGTTTTTCATGAAGCTCAAGGTGTGTGGGATACTTTTGACACTACAACATCATCTCAAGGTTTTGGGGAGGTAGGCTATGTCTATTTTGATCCTTCGGGGGGGAATCGTAGGGGCTGCTGCTATGCGATATGAAGGGATAGCAGATCCATATGTTTTAGAAGCATTGGGCATGAGGGACTGCATTGCAGATTGTCTCAAACGGCAGCTTCAAGGGGTGACAATTGGCGATGATGCTAAATTGATCATAGACAAATGCTTGGCTAGGGATGCAGCGGATAGCAAGGTTGGTGTGATACTCCAAGAAATATTTGCACTTCTAGATGTGGCGGATGTTTCTCAGGTTGTGTTCATGTGAAGAGTTCGAAACAGAGCGGCTCATTGTGTGGCCATAAAGCTCTGAGTTTGTCGTCTAAATTGTTTTCGAGGTTCGACTTCTGTTCTTGGCTTAGTTC